GACTCGAGCAGGTCTATCGGACCGCGTATCGGTTCGTTAAGCAGTGAATGAAGAGGCAGTGATCGAACTGTGCCTCCACGATACTGTTAATCGTCGTTGTTTACTTATCGTGAGAAGTGTTTCGTGAGTGAAATTAAGGTTCGTCTGTGGACAAGCGGTGAATACGATGAATACCGAAGTCGCCAACAGGAAAGCTCCTGACGGCGGTTGGGGGTGGTTCGTCTGTCTCGGCAGCAGCCTAATCACGGTAATTTCTATTCTGAAAATAAAACGAGCAAACCATTTCCCATTTCTCATCATTTCCCTCCTATTTCTAATTTAATGAAACGCTAATTAATAAAATAATTGATGATCAAAAGCTGTTTTCTTTTATATTACATAAAGATTTTCTTTATATTATACGGACATCGTACTATCATACTGAGGATGTTATATATTTATAAAATGATTAAATGCAGAAAATAAAGAAGCATATTATAATGATTAAATAATACTAAAAATTTTAGTTTGAATCATATTTTTTAAACTGAAATCATGAATGTTTCACTTAGCATGAAAATACGAAACCCAGTAATTATAAATCATTCTAGCTCGTCAATATGTAGATTACTCCAGAACGCCGCAATAGCAATCAGGGATTATATTGCCGTTATGTAATTTACACGTTTCAAGTTCTAATATTCCTTTTAATATCTCTTAATCTCTTTAATACAAATTTGCAAATCAGTTAACCGAAATTCTAAAAACAATACTAAATTCTCGTAGACACGTGGCTTATGAAATGAAATTGTATTTATAAATGAACTCTAATTTGCATCAGGATGTTTTAAATCTTATTACATTGAAACTGTTTAAAACGTGTTTTATTTCAGCTTTCTTTAAGATCTTTAGACCCTTCATTCGGTCTTCTTTTCCATGATCCTTTGAAGGAAATGAAAATCGACTCCACGGGTGCAACAGTAATAATGGGCATTCTTGATGCAATATTTAATTTCTCAGGTATTACAGAGAATACAACATAAATTATAAATAATATTTCTATGCCATAAATTAAAGTTTCTTGTTATTAAAAAAAAATTCATTGAATCTCGTCTTGTACTTTTCTTTATTCTTGAATCATATTTCTTGTTCGTTACAGTTTTTAGTTTTTATCTTACAGGTTTACTAGTAGGACCATTATTAAAGAAATATTCTTACCGAAAAGTCGCTTTCTTCGGGTCGCTTTTAAGCTGTACTGGGCTAATATTAACGTCGACAGCCAACAGTATGATACACATTATTTGTACTTACAGTATTTTAGGAGGTAAGAAATAAAGATAAGCATTCATAAATTCTTTTTTCATACCAGATTCATGTCGTTTATTGTACATCAACTTCATTTACATAATTTTGTTCGCTATTAATTTATTAGTATAACTTTATACATCATTTCTCGTTCTCTCGATTTACACATTTTTATTTATTTGCATTTATTATAGGCTTAGGGACTGGGTTAGCAACCGCATCAGCTTTCGTTGCGTTGAATACGTTTTTCGATAAAAAGAGAGGGCAAGCCGTCGGTTTCTCCATGGCGGGAACGACCTTAGCTATGATGGTTGTACCTCAGGTGCGAGATATTTATTAATCCATTCGTTACATGATCATTCATTTTGATTAAACCAGTATCGTTCGTCAAAAAATTGAAAACGAAGTTGACGGAGTCGTTTTTCAACGACTAAATCTTCCATCACATGTTCTGAATTTTCAGTTTCTCACCAAATTATATGATGTGTTTAATTGAGACAAGAAATATGATAGAAGATAAGCAATCTACCCATAATCGAAATACTTACAATTAATGTGATAAGTGATTGCTACTTACTCATACAGTCATTATCTTCTGTTGAATAATCACAACAGGTAGACCAGATATCTGAAGTCAGATTATGCACGTAGTAATGATAATTTTTTCTGTTCCATAGTTTATTCACCTACTCTTAGAAGCTTACGGATTTCGAGGAGCTACGTTAATTCTTGGGGGGTCGGCACTGCATTCCGCTGTCGGTGCTTGTCTGCTACGTCCACTTAAAGTTAAACGTGAAAAAATTACTAAGATGGTAATTTTATATTATGATACAATTATTTAAATTCATAAAAATATTTTGG